CAGGGGCCCGCAACCCCAGGCCAGGAGACGTCTAGGCCTGGCCTGGGGCTGAGGGGCCCTGGGGGAGCAGGCGGGCACATGGGCGAGCGCAGCAGGGCTGGGTTTGGAGTGGGGCCCTTAGTGCTCCCCCCCGTAACGCCCCTGGGGCCGTGCAGACACAGGGTTGCTTCTGGGCCTATACTGGTGGTAGCAGCTCGTTCCTGGAGAGCTTTTGAGAGGCTGGCTAAAGGGTGCTCTTTTGTTGTTGTCTTATGGGGATCTCCCTTTAAGGTCGTGGAGCAAATCGCAAAGGGCTGTGTCTGTCTGGGTGCTACAAGGTATCTGTGTACTGCTGAACATTTCTATTGGTGGTCTCTGGCTGCTGGGCAGCTCCTGACCACAGGGCTGTCTGCTCCCTGCAGGTAGGGAATTGAGTCCGTTTTTTACCTGCCAGATTCTTTCTTGCTTGTATGTATGCAGGTGATTCCTACTGAGAATTCTCTTGTGTCCTAGCTACCCCTGTCAAATCTACCAACACAAAAGGCTTTTTTTTTGTTGTTGTTATTTGTTTCTATTTGGCCTGCCATCCCTAATGATAAACAATTAAGTAAATTTTGTGTATTCTTGTTCTGGTATAGTTTGCTGCAAGAGACAGCCTCTACCGAATTCTTGAATAGCATAATTATAAGTGGTGTTCTTAAAAGGGACACACTACATTTTACTCTGAAAGCAGTGTCTCTGAATTTTATCTCCTCTGCTTTATAATATAAATTATCTGTTGTCCCAAAGTTTGATATTTAAATTGTATGCTGCCCAATGATGAATTTACCTGGTTCTTGACAAATCTACGGAAGGAATTACTAAAGCATTTACTTCACATTTATTTTCAAGCACCTAACTTTTGTTGCATTTATTGTATGCCTTCGTAGTGTTCAGGACAATCTCTGCTTCCTAGATCTTAAACCGTCTGTTAAATTCCCTTTTCTCTCAGGTCACATGATCTGCTGCTTACAGTAATGAGATATAAGAATCAGGACTGCTATTTCTGTGTTCTAGCTTCTCTCCCCTCCAGCTTGCTGGCTGATGCTGGTCAAGTCACTTTACAGCTAAGTCTTAGACTTCCTTTCTGTAAAGCACATGTACATACTTTCCTCATTACTATGTACTCTGGCCCTCAGCTTGTGATACAAATTATCTACTCTGCAAATACCTCTCCTGTCTTCCTTTTATAAGCTATGGATAAAGGAGGTACGGTACAATTTTCCAATAGCCTCATCAACTTTATTAATTTTTTTATTTTTTATTTTCCTGCCTTGTTTCTAGCTTTGTAGGAATTACTGATAATGTGTGCTCTGTGGGAGGCCTGTGGTGATTTGCTGCACTCCTCCTAGCTGTTCCCACCCTGTGAACTCTTATGTTGTATCTTTCGTTTTGCAGAATTTGTTCTTGTCCCTTTCAATGGAGAGTGACTGTATAGATCAATAATGAGGACCAGCCCTCGCAGGCCGTTAATTCTCAAAAGACGGAAACTGACCCTCCCACAGAAGGGTGCATCCAGTACTTCAGCGAGAGATGAGAACAGTGGTCAGGATGGAAAGACCCCTAAGCAGGAGCACAGTCAGGAGGACCAACACAACAGGCAACCCAGAGACAAAATAGACTGTGGTCTGCAGAAATTCCCAGATAATCGACCATCCTACCATGCCCAACACACAAGTGGTGGCCATTCCTACAAATGCTGATATCCAGAGCATCATAGAGGCACTAACAGCAAAAGGAAAAGAATGTGGCAATAACGGGCCCAACAAGTTCATTCTCATTAGCAGTGGGGGCATGTCCCGTTAAGCAGGTCCAACACCATCGCTGCATCTCTCTCCAGAGAAGAAACCCAGTGCAGCAACCAAGGCTGCAGATGGTCAAGAAAGAGACAAGAATGTTACACAGAAACCTGGTCTTGCCCAGGGGACAATGCTCTGGCATTCAGGAATTGATTCTGTGGTTGGACAGGAACAGAAGAGCAACAGTATGTAATCTTTACCTTTTTTTTTTTTTTTTGTCCTGACAGATAGACAGAGCTGTGAAGCGGGCCAATGAGTGTAGTGCTTGGATCTCAGTATGCAGTAATGAAAACTATTTCATTAATTACAAAATAGCTATGGATTTCGTTCTAGTCATCTATGTAGCTATGCATATGCAGTGAAATCTGAAGGGTCTAGTGCATATATTTTTGGTGGAAGAGATGGCATATAAAGTGTATAGCAAAGCAGAACTTTAGTGCTGGGGAGAAAAGGACTGGCTTGAGGAAATCAAGTCTAGAAGAACAAAAGACTGAGTTTCCTTTAGCAAAAGGGTTATGGCTGAATTCAAGACTAACAGAGTACAGATCCAGTTGGTGACAGAACATATAGGTCTAGAGCTTTGAAAAGAGGTGATTCCCATCCTTTAATAACTAACTCTTTGGCTGTCTCATGAAGCTGCCGAATAAACATTAGAAGTGGGATGGATTTTACTTTGAAACACTGCTCAGATCAAATCTGTATTTGCAACTTAAAATAGCTATGTAGCTTTTGGGCTGTAGTAAATCTTATCCCACAGTATAGTACTGTCTGACAGGAACCCATAGACAGCTGCAACAGCTTCATTGCTACATCAACCTCACCAGAAATAGCAAAACTATGTTAGTTTTCATTTCTGCAGTTAAAAAACCTGGAGACATCTGAGCCTCTGACTTGGGTCTTGTGCTAGGTATTTCATTTGGAGTTTGTCACTACCTTCCTTGGCCTCTGCTTACTAGATCCATCCTTTAGCTAAAAATACTTGAATTCTTGAAGCACTGGATCAACATTGTCCTGTTTTGGTTGAGAGCAATAGTCTGGTTTGAAGGTTTGTTTTTAAGGCTGTAGTTTTTTTCAGATATTGGGCAGATTCCACAAAGTCGGGAATTCAAGGTTGAATTCCTTCCACAGGAAATGTTAGCATTGCAATGCTATCTTGTCTGTATCTTGAGGGAGGGATACCTCTTTTAGAACTACGGCTAGTGCCTTCCTTTTGGCACGCCAGATGAAGGGGGAAGAGGGTTACTTGTGAGTAAGCAGAGCTATGGGCTTGTAATCCCAACAGGTACTGGCGAGGCAAGGAGCTCTGTGTTGGACAACAGTCTCACGAACATCCAGTGGCTGGGGAAGATGAGATCTGGTGGGCTAAGTCCCTGTTCTGTGAAGCGAGATGCAGAGAAAGAGAACCAGATGCCTCTGCCGAAAAGAATAAAGGTAAGTAGGAGAAGACAACAGAGCATGCGCTAAAACTTTTGATAGGGAAGTAATCCATATGGATCCAAAGACTTGCAAGAACTAGGCAATGCCATCTCTAACCTGAGTTTGACTTTTACTGATTTGAATAGCAGAACCTGCAGGATCCAGGGATGATCCATGGCCCTCCTTGTGAACTTTGTAAGTGCTCACTTATCATTCCTTCTGTCTCTCAGACTGAAGAAGATTCTGCTGCTGCTCCTATTCCTACTGCTGCCACCACCTCCTCCTCCTCATGCCCAGATTCAGTATCAAAACGACCTCCTTACTCCTACATGGCCATGATCCAGTTTGCCATCAACAGCACTGAGAAGAAGCGTATGACTCTGAAGGACATCTATACCTGGATTGAGGATCACTTCCCGTATTTTAAGCATGTGGCTAAACCAGGTTGGAAGGTAAAAAGCAGGCCCTCAAGTTGCTATGGGCCACAGGGTAATATTATCATAAGCCTTCTAGATGTAAATAAAAAGTTGTTCCCCAGCCTGCAGAGCAAGATGGAAATTAATTTAAATACCCCACCCCAAATACCATCTCATTCCAGATGCTCTCTGTTCCACTGTTCCACTTCTTGTATCCCTTTTCTCATTCCACTTAGGCAAGATGATGGGATGTTTGATCACTGGAGTAAAAATAGGCATCTCAAGAGTAAGTAGAATAAGAGACTGATGACAGGGTTGGCTGGCTATGCAGTGAATATGAAGGTCCATGTTGCCTGTGGTTTGGAATGTAATGCCTGCCAGGGTAGTCTCATGTAGGCCCTGCTGTGCTGATAACAAAACTACTGCTTTTCAACCTCCCCCTCAATTCTTTCTCCGCAGAACTCCATTCGGCACAACCTGTCCCTTCATGATATGTTTGTCCGTGAGACATCTACTAATGGTAAAATCTCTTTCTGGACTATTCACCCTGATGCAAACCGTTGCCTAACATTGGACCAGGTATTTAAGGTGAGCGTCTCATGCAAGGAAAATGGGACAGGCTGTCGAGTTCCTAGATGCCACAGTAGCCAGATGCACCTTATTTTTACAGGAAAGTTAAGCTGCTTTGACATCAGCTTTTTTGTAGAAGTTTGATTCTGTCACTTTTCTTGAAAAATAGATAAGCTCTGTATTTGAAAGAAAAGGTGCTGCAGCTGGAGCTTCTGTGGGATGCATTTATTCTTCAGGTGGTGTTCCAAATGTGATAGTGAGCTTGTTCAACCACTTTCCATGGGCCTGATTCAAATTCTAGTGAGAAGCTTTCCACTGAATTCAACTAGGAGTTGCTATGCTGTTTGATTAAATGGTCATGGGATGGAATTGTGCTATCCCAGCTAGGTATTTTAGGAAGTAGCATTTTGTGGGAGAAACAGAGCTTGTGAGTCTGGTATAGGTCTGTTTAGACTCTTCTGTGTTTTCTGCAGTGGGTGGGCAGATTGACTCTTGTTTGCTCAGATCATACAACATTAAAATGTCCCATTTGTTCCCCCTTTGGCTGATAACTTCATCTTATTTTTCTCCCTCTGAATGCCTTGCTGCTACCAGCCGCTGGACTTGGGGTCACCAACATCGCCTGAGCACTCTGAATCAGTAAGACTTACCCTCTGGCTTGGGGCTTGGACTTCCATTCTCCTCTTGCCAGAGGCTTGTGGGGGGGGACTGAGTCACTGCTACACCTATTCATAAAGCTCTATGCTCACCTTTGTTGGGGAAAGGAGTTGAGCCAAAGGTTACTTGCCTTCAGATGATATGCACTCTATACAGCTGGTAGAGATGTACAGCTTTGAGCAACTAGAATTCTACTGCTGAAGTAGGTTGCAATGGGCACCAACAGGCTTCAGAGAACAAGCCCAGACAGAGATTTCTGGTAAAATCCTCATCTCCATGGCAGCAGTCCCAATCTGTTCTGGGGCTCAGATCTAGAGAGAATAGGATCTTTTTGTGCTCCTTTCTCATTTTGGAACCCAGCTGCTTTATAACTCTCAGCAGAATGAACCTGTTTGCTGTCTCTCTTGCATTCAGCAGTTTTAACAATGACAGACTGGCAAGCAGCCAAACACTTTTTTTTGTTCCAGCTACAGCCCTGGCCTTCTTTCTACCTGCTTAGACTTCTGATTCCTCTGTTACCTCTGCTATTCCACTTGAACATTTGTCTGGTCTATGGTTTGTATAGAGACGCAATATACAATAAAGCCATCCTATTCACCTTTCCTCAGATACTGAGGACACCGAAACCACGTCATGTCTGCAGCAGAGTCCCCAGCCAGACCAGCTCTGTCATGCCATCTCTTTTTTTACACAGCTTTTGGTTGGCAGCTGGCTTTGAGATGGCATGGCTGCAAAACAGCAAGTGGCACAGAGATAGAGCTGGCATGAGTGCTGGGTGCTAACAGCTGCTCTGTCTTTATTAGCACAGCACAGGCTTCTGGATTCATAGTTCTGAATGAGGCAGCAGAATAAATATGGCTTCTTCTCTTTAACTATCTTTCTTTTCTCCTTCTCCTCTTTTGTATTTCATGACTGCAGCAGCAGAAGCAACATCTTCCTGATCCCCAGAAGAACATAGGAAGAAACACCAGCAGCAAAACTGAATCCCAGAATGCACGTGAGTGTCTACATTAGCCTAGGTCAAAGAAAATCAGTCCCATAAAGCTGGGGCACTCTCCCAGTTTCCCTTAGGAATAAAAGTGGAAATTGTTATCCAGGTTTGCCAGCTTTTAGGATTCTTACTGTCAGGTTTGGAGTTGAAGACAGTATTGCTGTGTCAGAGAGGATGTGATGGGGAGATTGAGGAGGCTAGGTGCTCAAATGGAGTAAGAGCAGAACTTGCCCCAACTTGAGGGCTAGGATCTGTATGAAGGTCTACTTTCTCATTCATCAGGCCTTCTGGCTTGGGATTTGTGTCCTCAAAATTAACAGAGAAGGTAGGTAAGCCTATCTCTGATTAGATGTTTTGTTTTGGGGTATTTAGAAGGACTTCCAGTTACATGCCTGACTTTCAAGAGGTAGTAGAGGAAGGGCAAGAGGTTAGTGAATCTTTTCTGTTTTTTTTTCTTCCAGGCCGAAAGATCAAGCCTTTGCTTCCTCGCATCAACTCCTACCTGGTTCCAATCCAGTTTCCTTTGAGTCAGCCTCTTGTTTTGCAGCCTTCTATGAAGGTTCCTCTGTCTGTGGCACAGGGATCATCCCTGAACAGCTCAGAGACTTTTCGGAGCAATAAGCGTGTGCGCATTGCTCCAAAGGTTAGTTTCTTGGTTTTGGGAGGGTATTTTGTTTGGTTCTTTTGGAGGAGGAAGGGGGAGGTGGTGTGGATGGTGATTTATTTGTTTGGCTTGGGTTTTTTCTATTGTTGGGGTTTGTTTTTTTTTCTCTTTTCTATAGCTCTTGCCTTCTATGGGCCTTGTTCTTCATCTGGTTCCTTTGTGCATCCTTACCAGGTGCTCTGGAACTCAAAGCTTGTATTAAGGAACTAACCAGTGACTATCCTTGCTGTCCTTTTCTGTCTCTAGGGTGACTGTTACCTGCTAGCTGACTAGCTGTAAGGATATTACTATAATTCACTAGAGGAGGGGCAATGTGGATTGGTCAAGACAACTTTTCTCTACTGCTTGGATGTGAAGAAATAAGAATGGGGAGAAATGGCTTTGTTCTGCCCCTAAGGCATTTAGATTTTTGATAGCTCTGAAGAGATGTGTAACATATGGAACCTCTTCTGAAAGAGCATTTATTTGCACATAGCCTCTTCCCAGAGGTTTTCAGTACCTGCTGTTTGCTAATTCTGTGGAGTTCCCAGTTATTCTGGGCTCTAGCAAAACAGCTGTTAAACAGGTGGCATCTCACTGACTGCTCTTAGATGATTAGACAGTGTAAAGCTTTAACTACTTCCATCCTGTCTAACTACAGTCCTGTTTTCCTTTGTGTGCCTGCTGCTTTATGTTCTCTCCTGCTATGATTAATATTTCTCCTGTGCTCTTTTTCTTTTGATAACCTCAATTTTTTTTCTTTTCTTTTTCCTTGGTTTCTGGGGAAGCTGTCCTCATTCTTTTTTTTTTTTAATTTCACTTGTAGACAGCATAAGGAGGAATCAAAGGGATTACACTTTTTCCAGAAATATTCAGCTCTCCTTCTGCCTACAGTAGAAGTGACTCTTAGCAGAAGCGCTCTGAAAAGCATGACTTCCTGTTACTTAGCTAAGATCCTTCTCATGTGATCTGTAGGCTTCTTTGTATCAATTTCACACAAGAGATAAATTTCTATCTGTTGTTATAGTTACTGCTTTCTGAAGATCTTCCTCTTACCTGTTCTGCTGTCCTTAAGCACCAGTCTTCCTTTTCTTCCTTCCTCTATCATTTAGATTTTGGGTGGGTTAGATGCTGGCTTACTGACTACATATCACTTGTGTTTCTTTGTAGATGTCACTCTCTACTGAAGAGTCATCCTCTTTACCCATAACTGCTGTCAAGGAGGAGAGTCAGTGTGGTGAAGGTTTATTTTCCCCAACCCATTCCCTAAAGGAGAGCAGCTTCCAGCCTGATGAGGAATCAGCTTCTTTCCCTGAGAGTGTCTCTATAAAGAAGGAAGAAGGCTCTCACCTGGATGACTGGTTGTCCCCATTTGCCTCAACCCTAACAGTAAAGGAAGAGCAAGGCTTGTTCCTCCCAGTCTCATCCACAAAAGAGAAGAAAAAATTCACCATACTGAAGTCACCATCTAAGGGTGTTTCTGACACGCTAGTTATAAGGAGGCGGGAAAGGCAGGAAACAGGCAGATCCAGAAGGAAACAGCGCCTAGCACAGCCTTGCTCAGAAGAGCCTGTTGTTGTTTTGCCAGAAAGCACTGGCTTTGACCCTTTCCGGTTAGGGGCAGACCCTGCCTTCCTGCAGGAAAGTCAGCCTGTTGAGAATGTATCACATCTCAGCTGCTCACATGGGGAAGAGGGGCCCTTTAAAACACCAGTCAAGGAGATGTTCAGCAAATTACCAGTTTCTTCTACTCCCAGCAAAGTCTTGGCAACTACTACCCCCCCACTAGGGGGTCTTGACCCCTGGAAGTCTGCATCCTTAGCCAAGGGAAGTCACGAGCTGGACTTCAGTCCAGTGAGAACCCTTCAGCTGCCATTCACACCCCTCCAGGACAACCAGGACTTGCTGGGTTTTAACAGCACACCTCTTAAAAATCCCCTCTTTGAGTCCCCTCGGGAACTGCTCAATACAGAATCCAGTGCCATGGTGCATGCCCCCCTCACGAGCTCTCCAGCTTTTATCCATGAGACTGCTAAGCAATCATCTGTTGAACTGCCAGCCTCTGGCTTTACTGAAAACCGCTCACTCATGGAGGGCCTTATCCTGGACACCATGAATGACAGTTTGAGCAAAATCCTTCTAGATATCAGCTTTCCTGGTCTTGAGGATGAAAACTTAGGAACAGACATTAGTTGGTCTCAGCTTATACCTGAACTGAAGTAAACTGTCCTGAGGTCTGAATTTGGCTTGCTCTGCTATTACAGAAAGCACTCCTCTCTTTTGAGATCTGTTCACATAGTCTAAGGCAACTATCTGCTTTTGACTAATTCCCACATCCATGGGAACAGCAGGCATTGTTGACTCCTGCTAAGCTGGGAGACAGGCTCATTGGCTCTTATGAGCTACCTTTATGAGCTGCAACAGACCTTGGGGAACAAGAGACAACCTCTCTAACCTTGCGCTAGAGATGAGAATCCCTGGAGAGAGGTTATCAAGAGAACATCTAGGTAGGCCCTGAATGGCATGTTCTACTCAAGGTATCAGGGGAAATGGATGTGCTCCTCAGTTATGTACAATAGGAAAGAGCCTGGAAAGCTCCTCCTAGCTCCGTCCTTATTTCCCTTTACTTTGTTCTCCTATTATTTAGTGTCTTCTGTGTATTTTTAATGGCTGTAAATAGTGTACATTTTTTAAATTAGTCCTTAATTATAATAATTTTATTCTTGTAGGGTTATGGGAATATTTGGGCTGGTAAAGGGTTTGACTTAGAGTGTTGTCCATATGTTCCACATCTCCTGTATTATTCTACTCTAGATGAGAGCCCAAAATACTTTTCCTTCTTTGACTTCAGAAACATATTGGTCTATGTTGTTTTGAAGACTGTTGGGGCAAAGATCTGAAAAATCACCTATATGTGTGACAGACAAACTGAAACATTGTTATCTGGATTGCAGCATAAAATCTTGGTTTGGCTTCCTTTTTGCTGGCTGGAATGGAGAAGAGATTGGATAAATCTGCATAGCTCTTCTGGTTCCATAGTCCCATTATTATGTACCTAGAGGACTAGGTAGAGTCACTGTTGCTGTAAGATGGATTTCTATAGAATGGTTAAAACTGCCCTCATTACATTAGTCGAAAATGTAAAAAAGAACCTATAAAGCAAATGCTGATATTTCAGATGAAAAGTGCCTTCTGGCACTTCTGGCTTGTTTCTCTTGGTGCAATAGGACAGCTCATCCCAATTTTCTAGAACTCGTGTCGAAAGGGGAAATTGCCATGGAAAAGATATGATCCTTCTGCTCACTGACAAATGATGTCTTGTGTCTCTATGTACTCAATAAAGCTTTTGTGGGAACACAGCCGAGTACTCTCCTTGCTGCTTTCGCTCTTAGCAGCATGCTCAGGCTGGGCCATAGCATGAATGACCAATTTTTGCTTGTCTGATGTATGTGTTTTCTGTGATCACTGAGTAAGTGATCATTAGGACATTTTTTTGGTATTCCTCAGGCCATGTTGGCCATGCCACATTACATTCGATTACTCAACTCCTTGCTTCATATAATGTACTTTTTCCTGCTGTTCATGGGTAAATCCTGACTTGACCAGTCAGAAACATACTAACTTAGTCTAAAACATCAGAACACCGCCAGTAGACTAGTTTCTGTATTTCATAAATGCAAAAAAAAGTTTCACTCAGACATATTTCTGCCTTCCCTTATAAACACAAAAGCAGATTTAGATGTGTGTGGTTTTCAGAATTGTGGCTCTCTTGTGTGCTTGTTAGAGATTATTTGCCCTCAGAAGATGTTTCAAGCACTTTGTGTTGATTATTATTATTCTTTAAGTTTTTCTGGGAAGGAACATTGGTCTCCTTGATTTGCATTTCTGGCTGCCTAGCACAAATGGCTGCTCAGCTTGAGGCCAACAGTGAAAAATGCTTTACTAGGCTGCCATCTGAATTTAAGACCAGAACATTTTTTGTCAGTGTAGAAGCTAAAGTTCTGTCACTTATGATTGAGTCTCAGGGTTTCCTTGCCTCTAAACAGGAAATAAGAAAGGACTTCAGAAAACTTTAGGATGAAGAACTGTTGGGTGCCAGTAAGCCTCTTAAGTGTGTTTTGTTTAGGATTGATTTGACAATACTGAGGGCAGGAGGTCTTGATTCCTTCTTTTCTGCAAATGTCCTCTAGTAAGGAGTTCATGTCCTCCAGCCTGGATTGAAATCAGCATTCTCTGATCAGGAAATCATAACAGATTGATGTGAAAACATGAAATCTAAATAGCACCTCTGTCTTCAGCGAGGAGAGCTTAGGAGAAAGCCATAAACCTAGATCTAGGCCCAGGGAGAAGAAGAGATGCAGACAGAAGGCAAGATTGTGGTCATGAGGCTGCAGAAGAGGCCCACTTTGTGATTTGTGGCACAATTTCTGTTAGTACATGTTACAGCGCTGTCAACACTCTGTCTGGGTTTCTCAAGGCATCCTTATCTCCCTTTCACCTCACTTCTTGCTCCTGAGAGGATGCTTGCAAACAACTGACATTCAAGAGCCAGATAACTAAGGATGATGTCTCCAGCAAATTATTAAATGCTCTCATCCTTGGTATGATGGGATGGTATCAATTCCAGGCAGGTGATTCCTTGCTGTCCCTGTCAGCTGAGGTACTTTGATGGCCACCTGAGGTTATATTTTGAGCATTGTAGTGCCAAAGACTAGTTTCCCCTCCTGCTAAGTATTCCAGTGGGAGGCCTGCTAGAGGGCAGTTGTATCAGAAAAGGTGGGGGAACAACAGAAAAAACAGACTGTTAAGCAGTCCTACCTATGGCTCCCACAGGAGATTTCCCAGTGTTTTGTCCAACCTAATTCAAAGCCCCACTTGGTGAGGATTTCATCACAACTCTCAGGGAGACTACTTTATTTCTCTCCGTCTGTAAGTGTTTGCCTGATATTCTGCCTGGATCCTTTTCTTAATTTCATCATGTTACTTTCACCAATGTAAAGATAATAAACATTATAAAGCCATCACATCAGCATCTGAGTGACTGTAGCCTGCTTGCTGAAAACGGTAAGTCTTGGCTTCTCCTGTTCTTTCCCTGCTGGTATTTACATGTCTACTTATGGGAATGAGTTGTTGCAGCATGTAAACTACTATGAAGAGAAGTTGTTTGAGTCTGGAAGTCACAGATATTTGCATCTTTAGCAATAAGAAGTTTCACATCTCTGTTGTCACAAAGGGAGAAGGACACGTTAATATCCCATGCCACAGAAGATCTGCAAGATTAAATGCGATCAGGTATTGGAAGGCAGATAAGCATGGTATGAGACAGAGAAGGGAGGAACTGTGCTTCTAATCACTTGGCAAAGCAGCTGTTTGGAGGTTGTCAGATTAAATTGACAGAGTTTGTTCCTGGAGGTTATTGCTTAGGTATCCTATACTTGAGCAACTAGACTGTTCAAGGATGCCATTGCTCAGGAGTGAAGTGACAGGCAAGTAAGACAGCTGGAATTCAAGTACTTTGTACTTTCAGACAAGTGCTAGAGGCATATGAAGTGAGGTCATGGTGGGAACAGTGGAAGTGGGGCTGTAGAGTAGGAGTATTATGTTTTGAAAATGTTTGTCCTGAACCAAAGGCTAAAACAACAAGATGATGGAGCTGCTAGGCAGACGTAAAACATTGTGTGAGAAACAAAACCAAAGGCATTGTTTTGGACCATGGGGAGCCAATTATTGAACTTGAGCTACATGGGCAGAGCAGGGAGTTAATTGTGCAGGACAGAAATTCTTCTGCAGTCAGGTTGAATGCATAGTAGAAAACTTCTTGAGCACAAGCCCATCATCCTCTCCATTATGCAAAAGCATACATTCAGTGCTTAGAGCTGAGCACTGATATCTCTGCCAGCCTCCGTTCTGGAGGAATTACCTGAGTCAAAGAACGACAGAGAAGTATACCTGTCTGAAAACAGAACACTGTGAACTGCCTTTCCCTTTGGACAGATAGACTGCAAACAGCAAGAACCAGCCTGCAATCACCCTGTGTTCAGCTCAACCTAGTTAAGTAAGGCTGGACCTGCATTGGAGGACTGCTGGACGTGGTCTTGCCCCAGTCCTCATACTGTAATGCCCACTATCAGGACATAGTATTGAGACTTACCTTGAAGAACAGTCACTTTCTGTCAGGAGCTGGTGAAAAAATACTAGGAGACCACACCAGGCACAGAGCAGAAGACAATATGATACCACAATAAGGCGCAGCAACAGCACCCTGTATAAGAGAAGAGGCAATCCCAGGTACTTGTATAGACTGGGAGAAGAACTCCTTGAGAGCAGCCCTGTGGAGAAGGACTTGGGGGTCCTGGTGGACGAGAAGCTGGACATGAGCCAGCAGTGCCTGCTTGCAGCCTGGAAGGCCAACTATGTCCTGGGCTGCATTAAAAAAGGGGTGGCCAGCAGGGAGAGGGAGGTGACTGTCCCCCTCTACTCTGCTCTTGTGAGACCCCATCTGGAGTACTGTGTCCAGGCCTGTGGACCCCAAGCACAAGAAAGATGTGGAGCTCTTGGAATGGGTCCAGAGGAGGGCCACTAAGATGATCAGAGGGCTGGAGGGAACTGGGCTTGTTTAGCTTGGAGAAGAGAAGGCTCTGGGGAGACCTCATTGCGGCCTTCCAGTACTTGAAGGGAGCCTACAAACAGGAGGGGGAGCGACTATTTACAGGGGTTGATAGTGACAGGACAAGGGGGAATAGTTTTAAACTAAGAGAGAGGAGATTCAGGTTGGATATTAGTCAGAAATTTTTCATGCAGAGGGTGGTGAAGCACTGGAACAGGTTGCCCAGAGAAGCTGTGGATGCCCCATCCCTGGAGGCATTCAAGACCAGGCTGTGTGGGGCCCTGGGCAGCTGCTCTAGTGGTTGGCAACCCTGCCCACAGCAGGGGGGTTGAAACTAGATGATCTCTAAGGTCGTTTTCAACCCAGGCCGTTCTATGATTCTATGAAAAGCATACACTAAAGTTTGGGGCACTCAAGACAGGTGGAAACATACAGATAATTGCATCATGAGATAGAAAGTCCCTCCCCCCAGCTCTTGGCACAGACAGAACTGGTAACACAGCAGCATCATCCAAAAATACAGATGATTGATAACCTCCCCCAGAAGAGGCATGCTCCTGCTATGCCTCTTTTAAAACAGCACAGTACTTGGGCAACACTACAACAGCAGCAGCAT